ACCTCAACACCCAGTGTTAAAATAAAGACAAGAGAAAGTAAATGTCAATAAGAAGTTTTGCTGTAAGTACTCTATAAGACAACAGAGCTATGTTACCTTAGGGAAAAAATGGGAACCAAGATTTTTCTCATCAAAAATGTGTCATCTTCTCAGTATTTGTTTAAGTAAATCTGATGTATTTTAAAATTGTAATCCTGCTAATAATCCCCATTTTATTAAATACAACTGTAATCTTATTATGTCTTTTTGTAACTAATGGATTACAGCTACATTTTTTCGTATCCTGATTACGTAATTCAGTTACATCTGTTACTCCACAAGCCTGATCATTAGTGGCAGCCCTAAACACACAGCTAATATAAACAATAGTTTTTGGACTCTCTGGGTCGCGTTTCCTTTAAAGGCCTGCACTATCAAGGCCGTTTTGAAATGGAAAGAGCACTTTACAATGCCAGAATGCTAGGATGTAAACATATAATTAACCAGAAGTAAAATGCCCACCTCCTCCGGTGTCGTCCTGCCCCACAGCGGTCAGACCCAGGTCTCCCTGCCAGCGGTTCTGGGCCAGGCTACCGCCACTGTCTCGCATTATCCACGGACAACCCACAACCTGCGCCAGCTCGTCACCTACAAACGACAAACAGTCTTAAGTGAGGGTGCAACCATACAGCCAGCTAATATCATTAGCTAGCCAGCTTCAAATAACGTTAGTTGAATTTACAACAGCACATTGATATGCGTTGACCATTAGGCTGTTTTAAGGGGAACTGAAGCCTTCTTGTCGTACAAGGTAATGAGAATAGAGCCCAATCGTTTAGCAAGCAACAAGTTTGATTACATTATCCTGTCCTTTCACATGCAGAAATATAAGAACTGTGTTAACACTCCTTTTACCATGTGCACAGAGCGGATAATTACCTTAGCTTGCTAGCTAGACTGAGTGGATTTACTGTTCCAACGTATAGATATGACAATAACTGAGCAATTAAGTTAATTATTAATAACAAAGAATAATATCATGCGGCCTGTGTCCTGCGCAGGAGAGACTATTTGAGAAAAGCAATTCTACGATGAGAACAATTCTTTCCGGTGCAGGAAATAGTCCATACCGAGGCTATTTTGTGCGCGTTGAGCGCTAGCAGCATCACCGTCATAGTTTAGCCAATAATCCTAAATTCAGTTCACTCTAATTGCAATTGCTCTTTTTGTAAGTAACTATGGGTACCTGAAGCTGCGGTAGTACAATTAAGGACAATCTGAAATAACCAGAATTTTTCAATAATCCGTTTTCTATCCATGCTAAAATATTAGCTGGTTAGCCATGTTGTCGTTAGCAAGCTAAGCGTTAGATAGACAGATACCATGTTAGCAACAACAAATTAAAATGCCCGGCTTACTCTATTCCTTACATAGCTAGGCTTTGCAATTGTATGCTTACCGTTAACCTGCAGATTAATATGAATGTGTATCCAGCTTCTTCTGAATGAAAGTTGGGCGTGTTTAATTTTCTGTGGGTATCGAACCAAAACAAATGCTAATTTGTGTTAAACCTCATTCAATGAAGTCAGGTGTGGAGCAGCCAGATGTCACCTCCCTACGAACTTTGATTTCTTTAAGGTCTTCCGGTTCAGATACAAACGTGAATACCTAATACAAAATGTGGATTACAGTCAATGATGTACGTGAAATAGACAGGAAGAATCTATATTAACTTTAGAACGTATTTACGGAGGATGTGCTGAGCCGGATCACTGCAGATTTTTCGCTCTCATGTCAACTACAACAAGTCCGTCGCACAGCAATGGCGTCATACATGTTTGTTTTTTTTTTTTTTAAGGATAGCCTTTCATTTTTGACCCCTAACTTCAGTCAGTTGGAAAACAAACATTAGTTATCATACATTTTATTTTGTATTTTACTAGTAGTGATACTACTAATAACGTTACTTGGATTTGTTTTTTGATTAACTTGAATTTGTCCCTTGCTTTCTATAAAGTTTATGATACAATTAAACATGCATTTCTTTGTATTTTTTGTCAAGGGCTTTAGATGTTCTGGTTGGTGGGTTTTGTTAGCATTGTTGTAGTTTTTAACTAAGCTAACTAGTTGCTGGCTATATAGTTAGCCCTTGAACTGAAAAGTTCTATTGTAGGTGAGACCTAAAAACATATGAGACATAGTGTTATACCAGTCAAGTTTTACAGCCCACTAAACCACTGAGAAGACCCCTGATATTTTGTCAAGCTTAACACCTCAGCTGAATTGGCTCAAACAAGATGAATTTCCTCAAAAATTTATTTTGATAGTTTAACAAAGTTATACATTACAAACACAAACCTTTTGATGTCTTTCCTGGCCTGATTTCCTGGGGCCCAGTTTCCTTATCTGAAATGGCATTTATCACATATCACCACTGGGGGGTGGCTGTGGCTCAGAGGCAGAGCTGTTAATCGGAAGGTTGTTGGTTTGATCCCTGGCTCCTACCACCACATGAATGTGTGAAAGGGCAAATGTGGCATGTAGTGTAAAAGCGCTTTGATTGTGCAGTACACAGAAAATCCAAATTATTTCTGCTTCAGTGAGAGAACAAAAGGCTACAGTTATATATATGTCATAATATAGAAGGTTTTAAAGTAACATTCAGTTCTTATGTGCTTATGTGAGTTTGGCGAGTTTAGCAAGTTCAGATGTGGATGGCAGAACCTTGTTATCTGGTCCTGGTAAGAGGAAAAGGTTTGCCTGCCGAATAGGGCCTTCCCTGCAGCCACCAGACCACCCTGCAAACACAAATATGCAACTGTGTGAGAGTTAGCTAAACCACCACCTCCACGTTAACTAACCATTTTACATTACGTGAGTAAAAGTACAGTTACCGAAAATGACTTTGAGTAAAAGTTACCCGTAAGAACTTAAGAGTAAAAGAGTATTCAGTTAAAAAAATATATTTTGAGTAGTGAGTACTAGTTACATGTGATGAAATAAATAACTGTCATTCAAAAGAAGCTATGTAAAAGCATTTTAATTTGGTGTACGAGTTACTTCATGATCTTCTTTGGTTGACACATTTGAAGACATTGTATTTATTTCAGGTTAAAACAGTAAGAGGTAAATTTTTTTATGAGACAGATAAAAGCCAGTCAATTATGCTATAAATAACTCCAATGTGTAACATTTAAGAGGAGCTATTGGCCGAAATGGAATATAATATTTGTAAGTATGTTTTTTATTAATGTATAATTACCTGAAGAATCAAGAATTGTTTTGTTTTCATCACCTTAGTTAGAATAAGCCCTTTTTGTCTAGCAGGAGAAACAGGTTCCCATATACATTTATGTATAGAGGGAGCAGGTCCCATCTATGACAGGTCCCCTTACATAGAGTCCACCATGCTGCACTGCCATGCGTGTACAGTAGCCGATGAAAGTTGAAGATATCTCCTATATGAGATATCTCTTATCAAAATTCATTTAAAGATATCTATAACTTGATGATAGATATCTACAATTAAAATACAACTATTCAAGGGCTGCCCCTGACTAAAGATTTTCCTAGTTGACTAGTGAAATAAAGTCAACTAGTGGCTGCAGGTTTATGATATTAATTTGATTATTTAAATATATAGATTTTAACAGCTGCCTTACAGACAAAGCGATTATGAATCTGAATGTCAGAACAACCAGCGAGGAGACTGAACATTTAATTCATTTATTTCAACACAGTATAATAACGAAGTGTCGTTGTTCAAAACACAGAATAAATAACTTCCAACTTCACAAAAACAAATATTGGCGGACTTTACGTTAGGATGGATAATGTATAAGGTTATCAGTTACTTACAAATTAACTTGCTGCAAAACTCACTCCTCTTCTTCCATTTCATGTCTCTCCTGTCGCTGCCTGAACCCGCTGTGTCACCCTCTACAACTGAATTGTAGGTATCTGTTATGAGAAACCCCCCCAAATGTTTTTTGAATCTTACCAGTCAAAATGTAATAACAGATATGTAAAACTAGAGTTTTCACTACGGAAAATGACATTGCAGATATCAGTAATAAATATCCAGTCTAGCTATTAAATGTTAAAATGGCTTGCCAAACAAGATTGCACTCGCCCACTGAGTCAGATAAATGCCGCCACAATGGTGAACTGTGACTAGAAAATACACATTAAAACATACACTAATGGTTGTCACGTCAGGATGTAAAGTGCAACCAACAGGTTGGTGATATGGCCAAAATGTGAAGGCTACATTGAGGAAGAAATTGCTAAGCACATGTCAAAGTGGATTTTGTCACGGAAGATCTATGGTAGATGCTTTAGTAAACATCTGTAAGAGCAGTTTGTATAAAAGAGGTAATGGTTTTAGTGTATTTTGATATTAAAAGAAACTTTTCTTCAATGAGGAGAGAAGAACTACTGATTAAAATGCATAAAATTAGCATTGGCAGAACTGGGTTTTATACATATACATGGCTATGAAAGTACAGTCCATTAACATTATAATAAATTATATTTTTATGTCCGTAGCGGTTTTGTATGTTAAAATCACAATATTAATGGGAATATTTCCAGCTTCTGAATTTAAGTGTTTAAATCTTCCAAGCTAATTTCCTTCATGATTATAGAAATTAATCCAAGAATCTGATTTCTAATTAGGGGTGAAGAGGGGTGCCAACAAAAGTAGTTACTCCCCAGTAACTACTTTTGTTGGCACCCCTAGTAGTAGTACAGTAGTAGTAGTAGAATATTATTACTGTTATATTATTAGTAGTAATGAGTTACTAACACTGGTCATTATGAAGTTTTGTATATAATTAAGATATGATTTGAGGTCCGTGCATCTAAAATAATTTATGTGCACTTGAAACATCTCATTTTATTTGCTAATTTAATTATCCATCTTGTTAAACCCATTTCTGCATACTCCGGTACAGTAGGTGGCGGTATGTACCTTCAAAGTGAATGATTGCAATCGATTGCGAATAAACGAAAAGAAGAAGTAGAAGAAGCCTACGAGTCGTTAGGTTCCCCCCTCCCTCTGATCGGATTTCTCCTGTCGCTCGAAAATGTCTACAATTCAGTTACTAAGAGTGTACGTCAAACAGCGACTGGCTGTAGCTGTTGATGAAATAATCGAGATGTTTGAAAGAACAATAACTGAGTACGAGGTGGAAATCGATCGCCAACGCAAACTGCTGGGAGCTGTGCAGCTGCCCGGCATAAAGAACAAAACAGGTTTGTGTGTTTTGTCATATTTTGTGTTTCAGGTGCTGTTGCTGTTGCTGTAGAAAACGGCTCAACGTTACGGCTTTGCCAGAAACACTTCTCCCTTGTTTGCAAAACAGGCTGGTCACAGCAACACAAAAGGCATGAAATGCTAAGAGAAGTGACAGTCAGTCATAGTCAGTAAATGATGGTCAAAACAAGCCAGCCATACAATTATACACACTCCAACGTTACAGTATAATTCAAACTACTAAGACTGCCAAAGAATTGTCCAATAAAGTTGAATCTACACTTCCTTCATACATTGAACATTTGTAGGATTTATTACAGAACAGTTTACAACAATAGCAAACAACTGTACTAGTAGAAATTGCTAATAAGTATTTGAACTCCTCCTCCTAGGGAATTCAAAAAATTATGCTGATTAAAAGTTGTGCTATTTGAGACGTACGTCAAACCGTGTGCCGGGGACGACTTGTCAAATTCAGCCGATTCGCCATAGAACAGTACTCATAACTTCAGTGTGCGATGTCCAATCTCCAATAAACATCATATATTCTGTAACAGTCTCTCCCTCAACACGTCCTCATAACTTCAGCGTACGCGGTCCAATCTCAATGAAACTTCACGTGTTTGATAACAGTCCCGCCTTGAACACGTCTACATGACAATATTAATATTGGAATATGCTCGTGCCATCAGGGAAGAAAAACTCCACTGATGGAAAGACCTGGTCATTCAGTATATTCAGGTAGTCGGCTGACCTCATTCTTTGGGGACATAACGTTGCTGAACCTAAACCTGACCAACTGCAGCAACCCCAGATCATAACACTGCCCCCACACACTTGTACGGTAGGCACTAGGCATGATGGTTGCATCACTTCATTTGCCATTTTAATAGTTTCAGCAATCTCCTTAGTTGTTGTCTTTGCTTGGTGCAGGCCAATAATTTGACCCTTCTGAACTGATTAACATCCTTTCCACAATCACAGGATATGTCTTCCGACATGGTTGTTTAAGAAATGAGAAGCTACTCACCGCATCAGCTAGGGTTAAATAACTTGTTGCCAGCTGAAAAATATTGATCACTGCAGTAATTATCCAATGGACCAATTTGCTTAGTTAAATCTAGGTGGTGACTTTTTTTTTTTTGGATGGGCAGTGTATATAAAATAAACAAAAAACAGAAATCTAGGAAATCTTATATACCCATGGAAAAAGATGAAGGCACTCCATCAATGAATGAATTAATGTATTGGCAATAAAACAAAATAACTCATTTGGACTCTAGGTCTTCATCAGGGTCCTCCTCTTAAACGATCAAAAAAGCTATGTCACTTAATCAGGGGTCATCAGGTTACTCAATGATAGAAGTAGAAATGGTGTCCCTTCAGGCAAAAGGTCGAGAACCACTGCATTATACTTTCCATTCAAACAAGCATTACCCCAGCAGTCAAAATAATAAACATTCACAGTAAGATAGAGAATCTAATACAAATTAATAAAAAATATTCCAGAGCAATATTCCAGAAGAAGCAATACTTCTTCAAAGTGAGGATAAACTAATTATCTTTTGGTTTTGGACAAAAAGGCTATTTGAAGATATTACGAGGATTCTGAAATGAAGCAATTAAATTATAGCTATTAAAATGATATATATATATATATATACACACATATATATATATATGTATATATATGTATATATATATATATATATATATATATATACACATATATATACACATATATATACACACACAAAATAATTGTTAGTTGCAGCTCTAGATGAGATGCTGTCATAATCCAAGCAGGGGCAAGTAGCAGTTTTATTATTACAGCAGCTGCACTTTCCCAATAGATAAATGAAGAGCTGCCACTTATACATAAAACTAAACCCAGGTTTGAGTACACTAAAATGATTCATACTTCATACTGCTTGGGCTGCTCTGCCTGGTAGCTAGGCAACAGCAGTGGCTGGTAGCTAGACAAAAAGAGTTTGTAGGCAACACCGGAGCCAGGTTACAACCAGCATAGGTACTTTCATTTTCTGTAGTTGGGTATGATTTACATAATTTTTCTTAGTCAAACAACACCTCAGTGTTTTTGCTCAAGTATAGTGTTCATTGTTGAATTGAATTTGCATGAGTGCAATGAATTGATTAAACCCACATATAATTGTATTTCTGCAGAAGAGTTTTAACGAGAATATACTGAGGTTTAACATTTCTAACACCAGGGATATGCCAGTATTACATTTTCAGTATATTTTATAATATATTAAATATATATAGACACATTTGAATTATAATAATACAATTCAGTAGTAAACTATTTTTTATTCATGTATGAAAACATGAATGGATGCACTGAAATCTAAGCGATACAGACATGTAGTTCATGGCCAGCTGTCAGAAAAATCCAATGGAAGTTCCAATATATAGTTCATTGTTAAGTGTTTGTCAGGTTTAATAAAAATCAAAGCAGTCTATATTTCAGAATAAATCGTAATATTTTTACAAAGTGCGGTAACAGTAACAGTTATATTTATGGCCCAAACAACCATAGTGAAGATCTGACAGCTATACACCCCTAGCTGTTTTTCATGAAGAAGTCATAAAGAATACCAGTTTTTAATTTATTCATATGTTTTTAAAAAAATGTATTTATTTTTTTACATGATGTCCCATATGTTTATTTCTCAGGTGTGTCTCAGGATATCCAGCTGCTGATTGTCAATGCAACGGTTCCCCATAAACGGATGAGCCCCACGCTGGTCCAGGAGGCCCCAGAGGTCCCATGCATTAAAGAGGAACCAGAGGAAGTTTGGACCAGACAAGTTCAAGGGCTGGAGGGGGAGAATCCTCATTCATCGCTGCTTCATCAAAGACAAACTGAGGAGCACACTGAGGCAGATCTTCCAGCTGGTGCTGCTGGAGAGGACTGTGGAGGATCAGACCCAGTCTTTGACTTGGATGTAGCTGGTTTTTTAAAAGCAACCAGTGATGGTCAGTTCTTTCTTTCACAGTGTTTTAAAACTAAGACTGGAGACTTGGATGATGACTGGAACCAGATGACTGAATCTAAGCCATTTACAGAGACCCTAAAAGACAACGAAGCTGTTTCTTATAAGAGATCTCATTATCAGAAAAAACTTTATAAATGCCCATCGTGTAGGAAAACATTTAAGCAAAACACAGCACTGCAGAGACATATAACATGTCATACAGGGGAGAGGCCATTTGACTGTACTGTATGTGGGAAGACATTTAGGCAAAAGGGAAGTTTGCACATACATATGAGAAAACACACAGGAGAGAAACCTTTTAGTTGCTTAGTTTGTGTTAAAAACTTCACCCAGAGTGGAACATTAGCTGCACATATGAGAATTCATACTGGAGAGAAGCCTTTCAGCTGCTCAGTGTGTAACAAAAGGTACAATGAAAAAGGGACACTAGTCAGACACATGAGAGTCCACACTGGAGAAAAACCATTTACTTGCTCACTTTGTGGTAAAAGATTTAGTGAAAAAGGAAATCTGAATAAACACAAGAGAATTCACATAGGAGAGAAACCATTTAGTTGAAGTGTATGTGACAAAAAATGTAGTTTGCTTTCACACCTCAAAAACCATAGGTGTCCTGATAAGAAAATTAAGCTGTAGAGCAGGTGCTTCAGTTGAAATGTCCAGAAGTTAACATGCAATTAATCAGACACACATTCACAGTCCGCAGAAGGAAACCCTTTTTCAACTGTAAAATCCCTCATCTTGGTCAAACTTCTTTATATCAGATATTTTAGGGATATAAAAAAAAAGTTATTTAAGTAGTAAAGAAGAAGGAGGAAAAAATCTGATTAGGGAGAAATCAATATTGGAGCAATGATTCTGATTAGGAGATGACCCACTCTAACTCTTGAGCCACAGCCACCCAGTTAGTCATGGTAGGTGGTGGTTAGCACAGCTGAAGGCAAGGTAAAACGGTGAAAATATTCTATATATACACCACATTTAAACTGACTTTTTATTATTTTCATTTTCTTTAGGTTGGCCTTTTTAATGTGGCTAACATAAAATTTTCTGCAGCCCCACAGCAGTACATTGCTCTCCTTGCATTCTGAGATGTCTGCTTCTCCCAACTGGCAGTGTGCTGACTAGTGTAATGGCAATTTTTAAGAACTTATGTTACCCTTTGACTTGGTTATTGTATATTCACACATGACTCTGTTCAAAAGTCATATCATATCTATTATAATGCATGTAACCCTTTGTCCTGTTTCTTCATGTGCTCTGTGTAATGTTGAGACTTCACTGTGCAGCCGAGGACCTGATAAAACCAATCGTCATAACACCATCTGGTGACTGCCCAGTTCTCAGGCATGTGTAACTGCCTTATTGTGATGTTCCAACAGGGATAAAACTAAACTGCTTTTTTTCTTCTGGGCTTTTCGTACTTTCACATACGAGAGTGTGACTATTGCGTTGAGACCATTCATGGATGAATAAAAAAAATGATAAAATGATAAAAGACAAGATCATACTTTGTATACTTTATTAAACAAATTGCCACCAAATTTTGGCGTTGTCGGCAGGATCACTCGTGCGACAGGACTTCGGACACTCACGGCTGAAGGTGAAGACCATGCATGGCTAGAGTCTGGGACTCTTAACCTCAACCTCCTAACTAGGGTAGAGAAGTGAGGGCCCGACGCCCGAGGACCGAGGCTCACTCACCGCTGTGATCCAAAGAACCGGGTGGTCTAGACAACTGTCTTTCTGGTTAGTGTATTCAGGGGGCCCAGAGTAATCGATTCTCGCCGCCCCGCGGTGGTATGTGACCGACGTGTCAGCAGGGCAGGTAAAGGCCGCTGCAGAATCGCCGGAGCTTCAGGTTAAAGAGCTATAGCCAGGAGACAAGAGTCTGGGACTCGTCTAGTATTGCATGCAGGGTTGAATGGAAGAAATGAATGATTGTACGTGGTAAAGGCTATAGCCAGGAGACTTGAGTCCGGGACTTGAGTCCGGGACTTGTATGATGCATGAAGTTACATGCATGTGTGTGAATGATTTGTGAAGGTAATAAGAATAAGATACATATATGTAGAAAAGAAGAGTGAATATTGAACTGCAGAAAATTTCAAGGGAAAAAAATGAGTTTTTCCAGCTTACTTTAGAGGGCTCTCGAGAAAATTTAAGGGGACCCCCGGACAGTAACAAATAGACAATATAAAAGTTTTCCTAAACAGTAAGCTTCAAGGTCCTTGCAAATCATAAATGGATGAATCGGAGAATAACAAATTCAAAATAGAAAAAATAAATAAATAAAAAATAAAAATTATTCTTCCAATACAGTACTATAAAACCTGAAAAAACATGGGTTCAGCTAATAGCAAAACCTCTCAAGGGTTATCACCCCTGTTGTCTTCTCCAAATATCCAATACATGATCATTAATTATGGTAAGCAAAGTATTGACCAACTTGACATGTGGGTTAAGAAATGTGGATTTCCTGTCACTGGCAGCTTTAGCATCAGACAATTAGAGATGTTGAAAGATAAATTAGAAGAAAAAGAGGAACACAGCAGGAGAAAGAGAAGAGGAAAAGTGTTTAGAGCAGACTGGAAAGCATAGGCTTGCTGGCAGCAGGAAGCAAACGTGGCAGCTGTGGCTCAGAGGCAGAGCGGGTCATTCCCTTATCCTTGAGCAAGATACTGAACCCCAAATTGCTCCCGATGCCGTGCATCAGTGTGTGAATGTGTATGAATGTTATTTTCTGTTCAATGGACTTTGCCATCACTGAGTGAATGTGTGTGAAAGGGAGTGTAAAAGCACTTTGAGTGGTCGGAAGACAAGAAAGGCGCTATACAAGTACAGGTCCATTTACCATTACCATTTACCAAACATCAGGGACAGAAAAATCAAGGCAGGGACAGAAAAATCAAGGCAGGGACAGCGTCTCAGTGCCTCAAACTAGATCCTGATCTGGACTCGGCTCCACCCGGAAGACCACAGGCACCACAGCAGCAGCCCCAACCGGCGCCACGACATCAGCTCCAGCCAGAGCAACAGGGACAGGACCAGAGAGCCACGCTGATGATCGCTCGGAGGCTCTATCCAGAACTCGAGGGAAGGGGGGGAAAACCTGCAGAAGCTCCTCCACCATACCCCCAATATCTGACCCGAAGCGGAAACGCTTTCCGCAAAGAATCGAACTCCAACCCAGATACCCCGACCTTCCAGGCACCAATGGTCGTGGTGGCTACAGGAGATGGAAACACTCAGCTGATATACAGGCCATGGACGTACAATGACATGAGAGAAGCAACTTCACACCTCCCCAGGGTCCAGGACGGAGGTGCGGAGTTTACAATACAACTGGAGATTTTTTGCCGACAGTTCAGGCCCACGTGCTCGTGCTACAGCGATTGCTGATGACCCAGATGGGAAACAGCTGGACTAAAGTGGCCGGAAACTTTCTGGCAGAGGATCGACGGCAGGCGGACCTGGATTGGGAGCATGCAAATAATGCTCTCTACAGACAAGCAATAACTGACCTTTGCGACAGAATAAGGGCTGTTTTCCCCCTAAGAATGGAGTTGGGCAAAATATCATCATGCAAACAGCAAGATGAAGAGACAGTGGCAGAATATTTAGCAAGACCCATGCGGGCCCACAACACACATAGTGGACTCCAAAGACCTAATGCCATGGGGGGCAACAATCCCATTACCCCCTGGGAGGCCCATTTGAGGGACCGCTTTGCAAATGGAATTAAGCCGGAGATCAGTGACATGGTGAAATGAGACTGTGTAACTTGGGACTACGGCAACCTTGAGACTATTGAGAGACATGCCGTTCATGCAGAGAAATTCCTCAGAAACAAGGTAAAGAGGAAAAGTGGACAATTGTCGGACAGACTACAAATGGCCCAGCTGGCGGTATACGATAACCAATATAAACATGAGGCATACAAAAGAATGCCAGAACACATAATCAATGTAGCTGGTAAAAACATAACCTTTTTGGTAGACTCAGGTGCCACGGAATCAGTCATAAAACATGAAGAATTTGTAAACACCCCAAAAATGAGTGTGAGGTATATGACAACAGTACGGAGCATCAGGCACACACATGATAGAGAGATACACAAGCCCACTGCCATGTACTGAAGAATTAGAAAAAAACATTCATTCTTGCTGTCTAAACATTGTCCCATAAATTTGCTGAGGAAGAGATTTAATGTGCTTGTTGGGCATTATTCTGATTTCTACTCCGGAGGGAATAGTTGTGACTAGGGCCTCCAAAACCGCCATGTTTGTGAAACAGGGCAGGGAAGATTTGGCGTATGCTTATCAGTGGAAACTAAAACAAAGTGCCCTCAACTCAGTCAGTAACACCTTAGTCACAGAAGCCAAAACACTCGTCACTGACACACAAACAGACATCCTGTCCTCACAAGATCTGCACTGCACATCACATGTCTCCTGTGGAGTGGATAAAGGGTATGAGAAAAAATGGTTTAGACAAAACCAAGAACAAAACTGGTGCTATACAAATAAAATTGAATTGAATAGAATTGAAAACACACTCAAACTTGATTCGTTGTACTGGAATGAAAAGAGATGTGCTGTATCAGTGACTTTGAATGATCCACTTTGTATAACTCTGTTTCAGATACTAAACGCAGATCCTCATGTCTCATTGGTCAAATCAAAGTATGACAGGTGGGAGAACTTGGGGCCTTGGCCCAGAACATGCAATGAAGCTACTGGGTGGGAAAATACATCAGATCCAAATGTTGATTTTCACAAGCGATTGAAGGTATACCGTAAAAGGTTTTCTGCTGTAGTAACAGTGGCAAGAACAGTTGATCTCATGCCAGACACAGATCTTCAAATGATACATTTTGCAAAAAGTGATCACAAACTAAGTCATGACAGATGTACTTTTGTAAAAGACGTCTCGGAAATTCCTGAACTAAGTCAGGTGCCATCATGCCTGTGGGTACAACACAAGTATGATGTAGGTCTGATAAAAGGCACAGAGCCTGTTGTAATTTTTTTATTAAATTTTTGGAATTTCCCCATTGTGGGACAAATAAAGGAATATCTTATCTTAATAACTCCAAAGTCCTCATACAGGCCATGTCAAACCCAATATCCCCTAAAAAGGGAAGCAGCTGAAGGTATCAAACCGGTTTTTGAATCACTCCTAAAAGCTGGAGTAATTGTTCCTATCACTAAATCACTAAATTTAAAAGCAGGAAGCGCACTTTTGCAGTATGTTGATGATTTGATAATCTGCGCACCCACAACGCTTGCCCTGTTGACCCATTTGGCTGAAAATGGCCACAAAGCTAGCCTGAGTAAACTGCAGTTTGTTTCAGAAAAGGTCACCTTTTTGGGTCATGTGATCACAGCAGAGGGCAAAACCCTCTCACCCAAACGAATCAAAGCAATCCAGATCATTCCAGAACCTCAAACAAAAAAACAGGTAATGAGCTTTTTGGGAATGACATCCTACTGCAGACAGTGGATTCCAAATTATGCAGAAATCGAGGCACCATTAGCAGCAATCGCTCATGGGCAGGGCTTCGCTGCAAAGGACAAAGTTCGATGGACACCGGAAGTGGAAAAAGTTTTCATTGACTTAAAGCTAACTCTTCAGACCCCTCCAACACTGGGTCAACCAGACTGTAAAAAATCATTCATACAGACGGTGGACGAAAGGGGGGGGGTTCATGACTTCAGTACTGACACAGGACCATGGGGGACGACAAAGACCTGTAGCCTATTTCTCATCCAGACTAGACTCTGTGGCATCAGGACTTCCCCATTGCCTTAGAGCAGTGGCAGCTGCAGCTGCAGAAAAAGCTGTGATAGCGTCACGGGACATTGTTGGTTACGCTGACCTGACTTTACTGGTTCCACATGCAGTGTCAATGATTTTGTTTGAACAAAAAACTTCCCATCTTTCAGCAGCAAGGTGGCTGACATACAATACTGTTCTGCTGGACATGCCAAACATTACAGTCAAAAGATGCACTGATGTAAATTTCTTTTCTCCCACCACATGATTGGACAACCACATGATTGTGTAGCAGTGATTTTTACTGTACCAATGTGGAGAAATTGAAGAATAAAAGTCCCATATTTATACTTCCAGATTCCATATTTTCTTATATTTTTGAGCTACTGTAAAAACATATTGCTCAATATTTCCAGGCTATGGGTGAAGCATTTTCATTATACTTCAATAATGATGCAGTAATCATGACAAAATTTCACACAAATGTTAAATAACATCTTGATAATATAAACACTCAACACTAAACACAAAATCCTACACAATTCTAATTTGTTTACTTTTCACACAAAATGCAATGCCAGTCCACATTCTTCTTATTTTGCAGCTCTGCTGTGTCCATTTGTAGGTAAAAGGGAAAAATAATTAGTTTTAACTTCAAAACACCATTGTACCTACTGTCTCTTCCTCACATATTATTTTTTTTATATTATTCAGTGTGACAGCTGTTGCAGGTGGTTCCACATACAGTTTACATTTTTACAGTAGCTCAAATATAAGAAAATATGGAATCTGGAAGTATAAATATGGGACTTTTATTTTTCAATTTCTCCACATTGGTACAGTAAAAATGCTTGATATTAAGTATACTTGTAGTCTTAGATGTGTAGAAGTCAAATATATCATCCATAGCCAGGAATTATTGAGCAAAGTGTTTTTACAGTAGCTCAAATATATGAAAATACCACTTGGAGATACAAATATGGACTTTTATTTTGGTATTTCTCCACACTGGTGCAGTAAAGATACTTGATATAAAGTGTTTTTTTTATTCATCAGGGGCACACAACACTTTAATGTAACATATTTTAATTATGGCTTACGGCTCTAAATACCTTTATTTTGAAAACCGGAAGTAAATACGGCGTTTCTCCGCATTTACCATAATGCTGAGAATACTTGTACACTCTAAATTTAAGTACGGCTGATTTGACCACGGAGATCGGACTCACGGCTGGATTGAACGCAGTCTACTAGCCTACTGTTCTTCTACACAGCACGGTCCTGTAAATGACAACATCCGGTCTCAGAATATGAAAAAACAGGCCTTTTTTCCGTTTCTGTTTTCTAGTGATTTTATTTTTTGTTATATGAAATAGAAAATGAAAATCGAATAATTTTTTTAATTTCTCTCATCCCTTTTTGACCATGAAAAAGAAAAACGCCTTGTATTTCAATTTTCATTTTTGTATTTTAAAACGAAAATCAAATAACCACTCGTTTTCTGTTTTTTATTACCCGTTTCTGAAAGGAAAATCCAATGACCAAAACATACACGGACCCATTAACAACTGCTGATCGCTACCGCTGTTTCAGTTCTGAGTCCTTCCCGAGTATAACGTTACATCGAAGAACACTGATAACGTCAATAAAACATCCAAAATCCTCATGTTACCGGTCTAGTGTCATAGTTGTTTTTAATGTGTGCAATTATATCCAGCCTATAAATTAATCAGTCTGAGTTTACGCTCCAAGCAGCGTAGAGAACTTTGTCAGCTGTGGCAGAGTGCCGATTCATGCTACACTATCTGTATTTACCGTCGAGTTTAATATTAAAATCTAGACGTTTCGCTCACTCATCCCAATAGTCTACAAAATTCAGTTTAGTCTACATGTGCTGCACGTCACAACTCTGGATTTGAAAATAAAGTCATAATTATAAAATTGGTAAATACTGCACAATAAGACCTAAATGCATGTAAAACTGATTAAACAGAGTTATCGTTTGAGCAATAGCTTCACACACATTTTAGAATTACTGGAGTTACTGTCAATAATTTAAACCCACCAAAATCAAATCCTTAGGCTACTTAAGCAACATACCAGCTCTGGTGTAGAAAACAAATGTACCCACATGTGATCATGGTGGACAAACTCAAGTTCAATATACAATGCAAGTCTTACATAGCAGCTAAATTGACCCATTTGTGACTGAAGGAAAGAAATAATTTGTAATCAAGGATTTTATTTTTTTTTAACATGCTTTACAAATATAATTCCCCTTTGTGGAGTGATGGCCAACACATATCATGTGGTACCAAAAATGGCAGCTGGTGCACTCAATCTGAAAGGAAAGAAAACAAATAGTTACACTGTTAAAAGGGATTTGGGCTTTTAGTCAGAAAGACTATTGTTGTCAAGCTGAGGGAACTCATTGCCCATTACAACAAAGTAAGAAGAGTTACAACAACTTCAATTTGAAAAAAGCGCGGAAACTCATTAAAAACTCATAATAATCCGTTCAGTTCACTTCAGAAAATAGGTCAAGGTGGGCATTTCAACCAACACGCATGCGCACGCAATATGACGTCACGCGCAATGTTGAACTCTGAAAATCCGAGCCGACCGCCATCTTTTTCCCTCGGAGCCGAGCCGTCCAAGTAAGTACGTTAAAAATTGTTTTAGTTTAGTTAGTTCTTCTGTTGGTAATGTGCATTGGCTATCTAATGTCTCTCCGTCTCAAATGATTCGTCAACTTAACCTGTGATGAATATTTTATGTTTGTTCGTTTTTCGGAAATACGTTAGCATGTAGCGCTAGCTGGCTAGCGCCGCCGGAGTGTCACAGCAAGTATTTAATGTAACGTTAGGGTTGAGCCTATTATTCGACTGTAACAAGTATTCGGCACCGATAATATATTCTCATACGAGTGAAACAGTGCGACACCTGTCCTCAATATTATGGAAAAATGTGTGAACAGTGGGAACATTTTACCCGGGTCAACCCGCCAATTTAACGTTACGTGACGTAGCGGCTCGTACACGAAGCTTTGCTCGCACTCAATCAACCTGGTACAGCGAGATAACAGAGCAACTCATGGTCCGTGAGGAAGAGGAGTGGAAAAAACATTGACCACCGCCGTAGTGTATGGACTATATTTTTTGTGTAGAGTTAGATGCTGTATATGATAACGTAGGTGATTGTTTTCATGTGCGTAGTGATATGTGTGCCGTTCCACTCTGTATCCATGGCAACGCGCAACAGTGGGGGTGAACAGCCACGCAGGCCGCCAGCTGGAGATCAGACGTAGGTTTTTTGGCCAGTGGGAAAGGAGTCCTATGCCGTTTGAAAGCGGGTCGACCCGCGTTTAAAAAAATAAAAAATAAAAGTATTTGATACTACATGAAAAATACTAATGCAATCAAATCAA